GCTTATTGATGAAGCTCTCGAAACACTTCGAGCAGCCAAAAGTGAACCACGCAAAGCATGGGCACCCTTCAGACAGGTCAGATTTTTAACATTTCTGTGCTTTCCTTTTACGGATCTCGAAGAGGCGAATCTAGCGTCTTGAGCATAGCTTGTATGTTGCGTCCCTCTTTTTTGTCTTGCTATGGCCCCTGCAGCTCCGTCTGATCATGACTCTGTCAGAAATCCTGATTTGGAGAAATTCAGAAGGTATTATTTGGTAAAGAATTTTCGATCAGAAGTTGATGGCTGTTCAAATTGAGGCGCTTTTTCCTTGTTTGATTAACTTTCTTTTTTTTTTTACTTTAAGCGAGTTAATCACTTACCTTTAGTTTTAGAAGTCTTAAGTAGTCAAAAAATTTTGTATGTAATGTGATTTGGGTGAGCGATATTGGCATAAGCAGATCCAGGGCAGTCTCCTGAGGGTGGGAGATTTTTATTCCCTCCCGTTCATTACTATACCGGAAGTTCCACCTTCCTCCCTTCCCCTCCCCTCAGTCGTCCCGCTACCCCCTCCCGACCAGCCGACTCTGAAATGCGACGACGATTGAGGAGGACGGGGGAAAACTCCTGGGGAGGGGAGGGGGAGGGCGGCACAGGGTACCGGACAGAGTTTTCTTTTGTAAAACAGCTGCTACCTTAGCCCCTGAGGGGGCGAAAGGCCCCTCGCCTCCCCCTTCCGCTGGATCCGCCAGTGGATATTGAATGATCGTCTAACTAATTTTAATTACTCGTTAAATATGTGCCCTGAATATCTAATGGTTGCCAGTTGAACAGATTTTTATTCTTATTACTATTTCATACGAAATATGAATATTTTTCAAGAATTGCAGCCAAAACTTTGCATTTTTTTACAAGTTTTATTCAGATGAGTTTTTGAAAGATTCTGATCCTTTGGGATCCGAGTTAAAGTTCTGATTTGTATTTCACCCCCTGAAAAAAGCAAAGATAGTCATTTTTAATCCGTGCAAGTAAAAGTTCTTGAGATTCGTTCACATATCTTTCTTTGTGATCCGTTTTACCTTTTCTATATGTCTTTTTTTGGTTGCAGCTGCTAACTCAGTTGAGTAGTCGATCGAACCGGCGATTACTGATGGGCTTACAAATGGCCGATATCGCGCCCGCACTTGCAACATTCAGTCATCGACTTGTTGGTTTTATTTTGTCTTTGCGCGCCTCTCTTTATCACTGATATGATAAATGCCGCATTTTTTTTTTTGGTTTTAGATACCTCTACCGGGACAGGAACACAAGAATTTTGCTGACGTTGTAATGTTAGAACGAATCAGCAAGCAAACAGTTATTTTGCCGACAAAAACGCGACCACGAAAACTAGTTTTTCATGGATCGGATGGCAAAGAGTTAGTTTTTTCTTGCTTTTTTTAACTTGTATGTATCTTTTATGCGCGTTCAAATTACTTGATTCAACTGTAATTTGTATTTGACTAATCCAACTATGCACTTTGCGACTTTTTTAATTCCTTTGAACAGTGCCGGTCAGCGTGCTGGTGATCTTAACGTTCGTTTGATCTCCTGAAGGAATTTTTCGCTCGGTGGCTTTCGTAGTAGGACTTGACAAGGCTTTATTCGTTCTGAGGTCTTCTTGGTGGAGTTGAGCATAATTTGTTTTGGATTAAGCAAAATGTCTCGGTGTTGTCACTCCTAAACTGTGATGAGGTACCATACCGAATAGGA